ATGCATCTATTTTCATAAAGAATGCCTTCAAAAATATTGCATATCTTCGACTATTTTTGAGATCTTCTAATTTATAATTGATCAAATCTTCTTAAGATCCATCATAAGGCTATCATTTGAAATGATGCGTCTTAAAAAGTCAATTTTAGTAGTAAAAAATACACACTTTTCTATCTTAGTGCTTAAACTTGCATCTTTTAGTTTTCATTATATACAATAAATATGAAGTTCATATTTTTTTTATATTTTTTAAATAGATTTATATTTTTTTTTTAAAAAAAATCACTCATTAAATATTGAAATGCAACTGATATATTTGAAAATCCAAAAGGCATGATATTATATTTAAAATGCTCATATTTTATTCAAAACTCAATTTTCTAATCATATCTTTTTTTAATATATATCAAATTATATACTCCTTGTAGATCTATTTTGATATAAATCTTTGATTGATTGAATTATTTCAATCTTGAAATCAAAGGTAGAAGATACCTATTCTTCATGGTGATCTTCTTGAGTCTTTGATAGTCTACACACATTTATAGAGATCCATCTTTTTCTTCAGAAATAAGATAAGAGTCTTTGTTGGAGATTTAAAATGGCAAATAAATTTTTTAGCCAAATTCTTCTCAATGTACTCTTAAAGTGCAATCAACTCATTTTGTAATGGATTATAGATTGGTCCAAATGATAGTTGAGTTCTTTCTTCAAGATCAATGGAATAATCATAGAATGATATTCTAGAAGAATATCTATATTTTTCTTTTAAAAAATATCTTGATAAACTTGATGTAGACTTGGAATACTACTTGAAATCTTTTTTCCATCAAAAATACATATGGTATATAAAAAAAGTTGACCCTTATTTTGTAATATGTATGAAAGTTTTTGCACCTATCAATAATAATTTAGATATATTGGTCTTATGGATTTCTACTTGCCTAGCAAGATCTTGGACTAAACTATGGAAAAAATCAATATTATAAGAAATCTAATCTATTTGAGGATTATACTTTTTTAACCACAATAATCTTAAAATAATTAAATTAAAAAAAAATCTAATCATATTAAATATTACTAAACTATTATGACCATTAGTTGCTACTTCTAAAGGAATAGTTTCACATGTAACATCTCTAAAAGACAAAAAACAACCATCTATTACTTCTACATGCATAAGTTTGGTTTTTTTAATTAAAAATATATTTTATTTTTTGACAAAGTCTTTGTCTATAAAACAAGTTGAGGCTCCTAAATTTAACAAGGCTAAGATTTTGTAGTTTTTTGATCCTAAATAAATTTCTACTATAAAATAAGGTGAAAAATTTGTAAAGAAGATATGATCTTTAGTAGGTATTGCTCAAGATTCTAACTGAGTAATCCTTATTATAGCTTTAAAAATTGGTTTTTTGATACATCAACTTCTTTGGCAACCATGCTCTTTATTTTTTGGTTGTGTTGCTTCTTTTGACAATATTGAAGAGTGTACTTAGTTTTTTTTATAATATAAGCACAATTCTTTTTCACAATGTCGAGTCTTTTCTTGCTTAGTAAGAGGTTTAAAATATATTGTATCAATTTCTTTAAGTTTTTGTCTTCATGAATAAGCTTCTATAAACTTAGAATTTGTTGCTATTTACTTCACTTATATCTTTCTAGTCAAATCTTTATTTTTGGTATCTTTCAAAGAGTTAATTGTTGTATGCAATGGCTTGAGTAATAAATTAGTCTAATGAATTTGCTCTTGGGATCATCAATAATAAATCTTTGATGTTATCTTTTCTTTCATACTAAAATTGATTGATGAGGGCCTTATCATTCCAATCCACCTTGCAAGTAAGGTTTTGGAATTCAGTATCATATGTGGTGGTTGAATGTAATCCTTATTTCAAAGATACAAATTTACTTTTGCTATCCTTTCTTGATTACTTTCGCCAAATGTGGCTATGAATACTTACATGTGGCTATGAATTCAAAACATAGAGTAGTCATGAATCTTTTTTCATCAAAGATTCAAACCAAGAAAGATTATTCTTAGAAAAAAGTATATTTAGAAATCTAACTTAAGTAAATCCATTAGGATATTAAGAATGATGAAATCTTAAATAAAACTTTATTTGTTGTAGAAATCTTCAAAACTTTGATCTTATTCTATCAAACTTCTTTGATATAATTATTCTTACTTCTCTTATATTTGTAGTAGTAACACTTCTTAAATTTAGTTGAAAACTTGATCTACTTGCTTTTCTTCATTGCACAACTTTTTAGCATAAATTTTAAATTTAATTGTTGGTATCTTCCATAGATATTAGAATATAATTTCCATGGTTTATATTAGAGATATGTGAGATTCTACTTTATGAGTATTAACAAACTCGTAAAGATTTGTAATAGTCATAAATAAATTTTTATTTTGATTAAGAGTAACATCTATAATTTTTTCTTCCATAAATAACTCAAATCAAATACATAAGTTAAATTAGAAGAAGGTGTTTTGTAACCTCTAATGTTAAATGAAAATTTCAACAAAGAAAAATAGTCCATTATCTTTAAAAAAAAAAAAAAAAAAAAAAAAAACTATTATTTGGAAACTAAAATGTTAGATTGAAGGTGGGTAGTCTAGAAACATGAAAATACAACAATAGAAGTTAAATAATCCACTTACTTCTAAAAACAAGACAAAAACAACAAATAAGGATTCTTGTCAAAATATCAAAGATATGAATCTCAAAAAACAAAAAGTTTAATACACTCTTATGTTACTTAATAAGGTTAAAAAATCACTTAAAGATTGTATGAAATTATATCAAAATGGCTATTATTAAAGACAAAAAGACTAAAACATCAACACAAGCTATTAACATGTACGACATGTGGCCAACTTGTTAGCCAAGTTTTTAACCTATCAATCACATATAAGCACGTATAAAGATGAAATCACATCTATATACCTTATAGAAAGCTTTTCTATAAGACATTATCAAATTAACCTACTTTTATCTATTCATAACATCTAGATAATTATTTTAATAAATATATATGTCCATGACATGTGCATGTGTTATTTTTTTGGATGTCATCTTTGCTATGCTTCTGTTATTGTATTACATGAAATCTTCCTTGAAAATACACCAGATACTTGATTATAGAAGGTAGAAAAAAAAATTGCAACAACAAGATCCTAAAAAATTTAATAGAATATTAAATAAACTCTAATTAAATCTTAATAATACTAATCAAGCTTTAATCAAATCCAAAAAAAATCTTTAAAATATTATAAAAAAAACATGAATATTTTTTGAAAAAAATATTAGAAAAATCTTAAATAAATCTTAAATAAATCTTAAATAAATCCTAATAAAATTATATTTTAATTCTAATTGAAATCCTAATAGATCTTAACTAAATTCTAAATCAAATCTCAACTAAATTCTAAATCCTAAACCAAACCCTAACCAAAATCTAACTAATTCAAACCAATCTTAAGATAGATTAGAACTCCAATATCTATTGATTAAATCATTGATCTTGCTTAAAAATTTACATACTTTTTAATCTTTCAATTAAAAATAAGTGCAAAAAATTTGAAGATAATTACACTTATCAAATGAAAGAAAAATCCTATAATCCACTCAAGTATTGGTCGACCTCCTATTCCAATCTAAATATTGAACTTCTAGTACCAATATCTCCTTTATGAATTTTTGAATTTCTCTCAAAATTCACTTAAACTATTGAAAATCAAGTTTAGTTTCTACATAAAAAATTTTAATTCAATCCAATTGAAAAATTTCTAAAGATCTTAAAAATACTCATTGATCTTCAAATTGTAATTTTTGAAACCTCAACCCATAAGACCTTCATATACTTTGATTTAATTATTTGATTGATCTCAAAATTTTCACACATATTTACAACTAGCACACCAAAACTCTAATCAGAATTTATTCATACATATATCAAAAATTTCAAGAAACCCTCAAATGTGTAAACATAGTTTTATTTTTCAAAATCTAAACCAACCATAAATATCACAAACTTTGAAAATTCCCCAAAACTAAATATTGACTTGATTGACATAAAACCAATGCTTAAAACTCTTTTAACAAGTCTACTCTCAAATCTCTTTATCCAATCTACTAGAAAACCCTAGAATTTTTATAGGTGCATGATTTTGTGCCTCAAGGTCTGATTTTGATCTAGATTGACAATTGATCCTCTTCAATTATCAATTCTTGGCTTCTTGAGGTAAATTTTGCTAAAATCTACTCTTAACTCCCTCCTATACATGCCTATATTATTTAATTTTTTAGTCTACTTTGTTTTGGATTATTTATAGCCTAGCAAAGTAAATAGAAGCCTATTTTGCAAAAGGGCTATATTAGCACCCTTTTATTTACTATCTTTTTGACTATTATCTATATTTCTAAAATAATTTGATATAATATTTTAAAATAAGTTATTCTATAATATAATATTTTCTTCTCTCTTTCATTCATTAGCCATATTACCGCATGACACCGTGGCTCCATATAAAGTTTTGGCTAGTTGCAGTGGTTTACGATTTCATGAAGAACTGAACATGAAACTTTAGTTTTTGCAATAACTACCCAATACATATTAGTTTCTTGTATATGTTGTAGTATCCGGTTGTGGACTTATTGTAGGTTGTACTTGGCTATTTTTTGCTATCTCTCAGTGTGACCAAGCATTGTGCTATGTGTATACATGGTGTAGGTCCACTATTTTGTTTGGAACGAAGATGGTAGTACAATATTTTTGGCAGGTTGTGACGAACAACAAAGATGTGGCCCATTCTAAGAGGTAGCCAGGCAATCACCTTGGACATGTATGAAGCACCTATTAAGAGCATTTCATGGATTCCTGAAATGAGCTTACTTGTTACCAGGAGCTGGGACAGAACTCTCAAGTACTTACATTACCTGAACCACTTATATTGTTCTAGGCACTAAGTTTGGGGTGGGTGATGGTAGCTTTTTCTTCCTTGTATGTCAAGGAATCGTCTTTGGACTTACGTGTGTCTGAAGTTGATGGAATTTTCCTATCGGTTATCCCTGTTCCTCTTGCTCAGTGGTATACTTGCAAAAGTCTAGATCTTTGCAAGGTGATTCCAATCCCATTCTCCACGGCATCTGAACCTTGTGTCTATGCTAGCTTATCATGCATTATGATGAGTTGCTAAGGTGGTTTGCAGTATGTCCAAGGTGGGTTCTAGCACGTAGTGCTGAGGAATTGTTATTATCTATGCTGGTATTGGGATTTACGGGCACAAACTCCAGCACACACTCAACCTCTTTTTGTGAGAGGTGCTATACCATGAGTATTCGGCACCCGCTCATGGTGGTTGCAACAACAGATCGAAACATTGTTGTCTGTAATCTTGCAAGTCCCCAAGTAAGCATTATATCAACTTGAGTTAGAATGGTAGGTTGGATTTTTGGCCTTGAACGTTCGGTATCCAAATGTTTCTTTCTTATATCCATTAGTGAGACGAATATGTCAAATCGGAATCTACTTGTAGTCGTTTATTCTTTTGGTATTTCTGGATGCTTTTAAAGCAATCTGATGTTTTTGTTTTGTTGCAACAGACAGAGTTCAAGCGGATACCGTCTCCGATGAAGTATCAAACTCGATGTGTCTCAACCTTTCCGGGCAAGGAAGGGTTTCTCGTAAGTCAACTCTAAATCAAAGCAATCTTATGCATCTTCTTTTCAGGGCACTGTTTGAGAGAGAATATATGAGTGTGAGAAATGCTTCGCTCATTTGTCTCTTCTTGTACTGTAGGTTGGTTCAATCGAGGGTAGAGTAGCTGTTCAGCACATTGATGAGGCTCAGCAATCCAAGAACTTCATATTAAGTGCCATAGAGACAACAATGATATATATATGCAGTCAATTCTATTGACTTCCACCATATATGTTTTTTCTTCCACTCAGTAGGCTTTCCAGTTTAAAAGTGGTCTTTTGTGTTTTCTTTGCATTATCTGCTGATCGCTCTACATAGTTATCTATGAAGGTTTTAGTTATTGTTACTGTTGCTTCTTTCTTCTTCTTCCTTTTTTTTTTTTTTTTTTTTTTTTTTCCATGCAATATCTTGGAATAACCAGGTCTATGGAACGTTCGCTACTTCTGGGTCTGATGGAGCATTTAACTCTTGGGATAAAGATAGTAAACAAAGATTGAAGGTATTTGTCTGATTGTGAAGGACATTGGTTTATGGAAGTTGTGTGGAGGCTCTCCCTGCTTGTCTTTGCTTTAAATGCATTGTGCTTAGATTACGGTTTGATTACAAATTCCAAGTAGTGAATGTGCATTTTGAAATAATCTTGCAGTCAATGCAGCAATGTAATCAGCCGATTCCTTGCAGTACATTCAATCACGATGGAACAAACTTTGCTTACGCGATTTGTTTTTTTCTTTTATTTTTAGAAAGTTATTTTGAACGCAATTGTATCATATCATTGATTTTCGGGTATTAGTAAGTTTGCTAGTCATCGCAGCTGTGTTCCTTTCAAGATACTGTAATGGACATAGATGAAGGCACTGTCTTGCATCCCTGCTTATATTTTGAAGTTGATACTCAACGGTTAACTACGAATGGAGCAAGGGTGCTGAGAATCACAATCCTGCACAAGCTCGCAACTACATCCTCCTCTATTCCACTCAGGTAAATCATGCTTGAACTTCGACGAAATTGCTTCCTTTTGTTTCTTTTGTCATAAATCTACAAAGTTATCAACTTCAAAGCACAGATTCTCAAGTTTCGTAGTTACAAGAAATTGGTTCATGCATATTCTCTACTGGCAGGATTTTGAAGTAAAAGCAAAAGCACAGGTTGCTACCAGTGGAAGAAAATAATCGCACACTTTCAATGATATTGTCTTCTGCTGTGGTGTGGTGCCCTAGTGGCTTACTCTGTATTTTACTTGGATTCTTACGAAGATGATGCGTAATTCCCACCTCTTGCTAGAGCCCGCACAGGTATTCAATTCCTTACCACAGAGTTATGTATCATTATATTTCAGAAGTTTACTATGAGGACTAAGAGATGAGCCTTTTCCATTTAAAGACATTTGCATGGTGACTTCAGTTGGGAGAGTTGCTATTCTGACTACAGTTGGGCCTTCTGAATAGGATGAGTTCTTTCTCTTATCTTATGATGCTCTCGGAATCCAACTTGGAAACTCAATGCTCGACCAACTTATCAATTGGGTGAGTGTGCTTTGGTCATATAATTCCAGACTAAAACTAAGTTTTTGCACCTGTCTGAGAGAATGCAAAGAACTTGCCCATGTCCACCTGGCAGTGAAGCTTGTTCCTTGCATTCCTGTTTAGGCCATCGTGAGTTGTCAGCCATTAGATTAGCCATTGTAAGCGAAGAATGTTGTTGTTCATTTGATAGGAATTTTTCGCTCAGAGGTCGCTTGGAGCCGTTTGGGTCGATTTGTGAGTTTGCTGACAATATTCCAATTTGCTGATGCTGGGAATTGTGGACCGTACACAAATACACCTTGATTTAAACCGAGCAATTATATATTAGAACGTGCTGTCTAGTTGTTCAGTCTGGCCATTGTCTATCTTGTTGGAATTTTTAATTATGAAAGTTTTCTTAAGGGAAGAACTCTGCATGCCCATGAGGCAGTGTGTCTTTTCTCATACTTCTTTGATATTCAACTTCAAAGAATAGGTGTAATATACTGAATGATTCTTGTTTATCCAGTTAAGAGAAGCTGTGATAGTTGTATATCAAGTGAGTAATGTGATAGTTATGTTGATCTAACAGAAATTTTTGTTTGATGTAGAAGACTTGATATACTGATTAAACACAGAATTATATAAGAAAGCGGAAATATCCGTCAATAATGCTCAAACCATAAATTAGCACAATAATTTTGTTACGACTAGATCTTTAAGGATTAGGTGTTAAGTTACACTATTGGTGTAATATTGATACTCAAGGTGCCTGATATCAGGACTTAAGGAATGACATCAAATTTTATGTATGTGGATTCATTGTTGCAATGACAATAGTACAATATAAAATGGTAATTGATTAAAAACATAAGAAAAATTGATTGGCACATATTATTTTCGATGCAAATGTTCAAACATTTACTTCATAACATCAATGTAACATCTCGAAATTTCGTATTCTTCTACATTTGTGAAATTACTTCTTGACATTATTATCGTTAGTGACGTATTTGATAGTTGGTTTTCTAAAAACTCGTAATTTTCAATAACGTAGTTTCAAAATTAACCGTTAAAAATGTTTTTTTTTTTTTTGGTGATGAGTTGTTACTAGTTTTATTAAGAATAACATACATGAGTCCTTAGTGAGATTAATATATTGATTTCACTTAAAGTTGTACCGTTGTAGCAGAAAAATCCTGGTTATATTACAGAAATAAAATTTCTTACTGTGGATTCTAAACTTTTGCTGATTCTCCAAACTAATAAATGTCAAATGATATTTGTGTACGTCATGCTTTAAATTTCTGAAAAAATTCTCGAAAAAAATTCACTCTCAACTGACACCCAAATTTCTGCATTGATGATGTGTTCCATTTATTTTAACTTCAATATCGAAAGAAAAAATATGAATCCCACTCAAAATACACAAAATAGATATAAACAATAGCAAAAGCCATAAAAGAAACTACACAATTTGAGACCTTTCAAATTAGGGTTTAATGATGCTCGTGAAGACGGTCTTGAAAGTTCTCATCCCGATAAAGTATTTGTTCATCAACACACGAAATCAGTCACGCAGTGCTAGGCTTTCGATGCTGTGGTGCCGTTGGACTGAAGAAGGCTGAAGGAAGTTGCCCCCCATTAACGAAGAATCGAATCGACAAATTGTGATGCTCACAATGTTGTAGCAGTACAAAACTATGCCGAGGGCTGCAACAATTCTACATCATGCAATTGTGCCGTAATTCAATGGGAACCAAGGTGTAAGCCATCGCCGCAATCGGTCCCACTGCAACCTGGAGGTATCCCAGCTGAAAATCGTGTGATCCACACCGATCCCGAGAAACGCCTCGGCATTGTGCTTCACGCATCTAGAGATCAACGCCCACGAATACGTGTTACCGCTACGTGAAATCAGAGCTCAGTGACCAGCGGCACACACTACGGTATCCTAGAAAGCAACCGTCCAGCAAACAAATTCCACCGCCCCAAGCACCTGGATAAGTGTGGATGGCCCTTAGGCTGTAGACCTGGTGGGATGATGTGCGAGGTCTCTTCGTCACAACCCTGTAGTAGGATGCATCGCGTGCCGACACTCCCGGTGATTAAACGTTTCGCCGGTATTGGCCGCGTGGGAGACAGTGGGTCAACGCCGGCCACGCTCATCCCCCGCGACTGCAGAGGCGCCGGGATCTGCCTCCGAGCTTCCGATGATAAAGGCGTTGCATAAAAAAGCGTCTCGTGGGGCGGTTCCATTCCGCGTCGAAATACATGCGATGCTGGATCCGCATCAAGGCCTGATCAGATTTTTGTTGCAGTGAGGCTGAATGCACTGGTGCGAGAGTAGTAGCCCTGAGCTTCTCCCCAACCGATGTGGATCTGTCCAAATGGGTCCGAAACCAGACCTGGTCGGTGTCAGCACGATGTGGAAACCGTCGCTGATGAATTCTTCTTCTCGACACGTCACGTGTGATGAAAGAATCACATGACAAACTGCTAGTTTTCCAGCACCATTGAGTCGGCGACGTCTGTGTCGGTGAACACATCGCATCGAATGCAGATCTGCATGCTATCTGAGTGGGATTGTGAGTAGTTTGTGGTTGGAATTGTTGATGAGAGCTGCATGAGTAGGAATGAATTACATTGTTGTATTACATGTTGAAATGGTGCGAGGATCCGTTTTCACACAGCATCAAAATTGTCGAATGTTTGCTTATAGAATTCTTTAGTGACAAAATGTTAATTGATAAGAATGAATTGTGAACAATTTGTGAACGTTGTAACATATGAAGTCCAATGCGCAAATTTATTTTTAAATATAATTGAATATTTTTCATATTGAAAAGAGTGTGAAATTGTTAAATTTTGACATTATATATATATATATATATATATATGTAAATGTGTGTGTATATATTAAATTTTGGTAGTGAAATCATTGGTAAAATCAATTTAAGAAAAAATATATATATATATAGTAAATCGTGTATAGTAACCACCAATTTTAGTGCAAATAAGTTAAGAAAGAAAAATATAAACAATAAAACTTTAGAGTCTTTAAATACTATAATTCATATAATGTGTTTAGTATTACAAAAGAGAATATATATATATATATATATATATATACACACACACACACAAAGGATATATATGATCATTTTTTTTTATTTAGTGTATATTTACTGATAAAAAAACATATCATTGAATTAGTTGAAAATATTGGTATTATTGTCTTAAATTTTGGAAGACAATAAATAGTTGAAAGAATACATTACAAGAATTTAATAATATCAGTACAAATGACCTCAACATCAATATGTATATGATTTAAGAAAACTATAAGACTTAGTATTGGTATTTATTTTTGAAACAAATAATACATAAGTTTACAGTTTAACAATACATGATATTTACTAGAAATATGCTAGTAATTTGGCTATCAATTGTTGTTTGCTTGACTAAGCAATACTTGTCTTGATAGACCACAAAAAGATTTGTTAGACTATAATAGCTACATTGTAATGCCACCAATTAATAAGTAAGAAGAAGTTATTTGGATCATTCTAACCTATTGTCAAGGACATGAATCTTGAAGAACCAAAAACTCAATACACTCTTACATTACTCAAAAATGCAATTTTTCAGTGTATTACTTAAGTACAATTAAAAGCTATTCTAAAATAATCTACTTTACTTTCATCTTGTGGACAAATAGCCATATGTAGAGATTTATAAATTATTGAATTAATTTAATAATCAAATATTATAATTTCAACTAATTAAAAACTTCTTGCGTAAATGAATTTAAAAAAATAGATACTCATTTAATATATTCATGTATATATATATATATAAATATTTATGTATTCTAATATTGATTTGAGTGAAATCAAAGTGTTTTGAGTGATTTCACTCAAAGAAACACTTCATTAATCATCATGTATTACGTAAAAAAATAGCATTAGTAGAGCAGGGAGCGCAATTAACGAGGCCCATGCGCACTAATCGAGAAAGGGAGCCAAAAGCCACTTTCTCGCCGCACCTTCGGGGAAGCTACATACTCTCTGCCCAGGTGGCGCTCGAGAACGCGTTCTGAAGCAGCAGTGTACAAAAGTAAGCGCCCTGGCCCCCGAAATTTTAGAGCCAAGTTACTTCTCGACCCCGAGCTTGTGCGCGCAATTGAGGTGGTGGATTCGATCTAATCGGCGTTGTTTTCTGCAGAATTGTGTTTCTGTGCACATCGTTGGGGTTTCACGTTGTGGGTTTTGGTTTCGTTGGAGTAATTGCGCTTACGGACTGCGGAGGAGTATAAGCGTCGCCGCCGCTGCTGGTGTTGGTGCTGGTGCTGCTGGTTTCTGTTGTTGGTGACGGGCGGAGATGGATCCTCACAATAATAACCCCTATCCTCCTCAAAACCCTGGGGATTCGTATCCCCCTCAAGTGTCCGCCATGGGCTACCCGCCTCACAACCCCAGCGAAGATGAGGTTCGTGCCGATTTAAGAGTTTTATCGTTTCTGTGATTGATTCTCTGTAATTGGTTAGTATTCCATGTATTGATGCGTTGTTCAGGTTCTGTGGACATAATTTTTATTATCCTTGTTGGGTTAATTCATATCTGTCGATGTCCATTGTCTACACTCTGAGATCGTGCTATGACCGACGGAGGACTCTACAGGATCATGTGTAATTTTCAGGGTTTTATGTTGCCGTCCATTCAAGATTCATTTATTGTTGTTGAACCCTGTTTTCTGATACTTTATTGTTTTCATCTACAGAGCCAAGATAGAGGCTTAGGCAGTCAGATTGTGCACGGCTTGACCCAACAAATTGGCCATGGCCATGGACAAGGACAAGGACAACATGGCTACCCACCTCAGGGCTATCCGCCTCAGGGTTATCCACCGCAAGGCTACCCACCGCAAGGTTATCCACCTCAGGGTGGCTATGGTTACCCCCCTGCGGCACCTCCAGGTTACCCGCAAACCCATGGTTCACATGGTAGCTCACAAAGTGGTTCCCATGGAGTTGGTGGAGTTGGTGCGTATCTATCCCCAATTGACTAGTGAATGATTTTTATGTGTACTTATCAAGGTTGATAAGTTATGATTCGATCATGGGCTACTGGCGCATTGTAAGTCGTGTTTGGTTAGGATCCAGTGTGAGCACATGCAGGTATGTGACTTGCAGCATCACGAGTGTTTTTGGGGATTTTACGGCTTCAGTGATATCGAAAATTCTCAGTGGAGAATGTATTTGTTTCGGAGGCTGTGCGTGATCTTTAAATCCATTTTGTTTCTGCAGGGGGAATGGTAGCTGGGGCTGCTGCATTGGCAGGTGCCTATGGTTTGTACAAGGCAGGCTCTGGTTCACATGGTGGCAAACATAGCTCACATGGTTTAATACCCAACATTCCCGGCATGGTCGGTGGTCATGGTGGTGTCAAATATGGACATGGAAAATTTAAGGGCGGCAAGCACGGTAAGGGCTGGGGTGGCAAGAAGGGCAAGGGACACAAGCACGGGAAGGGATTTGGAAAGCTCGGAAAGGGATTTGGAAAGCTCGGAAAGAAATGGAAATAGGTGAAATTTCCTTCTTTCTTCATTGGTTCAAATTTCTAGTCAATATTCCTGTGCAATGTACTTGCGGCTCTTTCTTTCTTTCTGTTTATTAGTTGTCATTTTCTTGTTAGTGAATTGTGTCATGGGCTGGATGATTGGCAGAGTGGCAACAATGTACACCTACAAACCTGAAGTATCATCTTCTGTTCAACATCCCAAGACCAGTATCTTATAGTTAAAGACTTCCTATTCCGTCCATGATTTTCTTCAGTGTGCATGTTTTAGAGCCGGTTATGATTCCTTGCAGTCAGAGTAGACGGTCATTCCATATTCTCAGCCTGGTAACGATTGAGCATTCAGCTGGTAGAACCGGGTCAGCATGAAATGGCTGTACATAGCGTGTGATATATCTGTTTTTTGCAGCTGTGACGTCTGTACAGAGTTTGTTTGATTGGAACTTTAATTTGGTCTCACCCACAAAGCAGTTTCGTAGGAATTGCTTCAGCTTGTCCTACTGCTCGTCCACACTGGAGCGCGCTTGGTTGTGATAATCATGGCTCTTTGCACGAGTATCTAACTGCATGTTTGTGCGATTCTGTAAAACGTAGTATCCAAGTAATTAGGTAGTGAGCTCATAGGCAACGATCACAGTTGTTACGTTCCTAGTTTAGTTGATTCGAACACTCACTTCATCATTATTATTTTTATTTTTATTTTGCCTTGATAACGTTACTCTTAACAACGCAACTTAATTTTTGATTAGTTTCCAGTTTGATGGCATGCTCGCATACCAGTCTGACTTTTTTTTTTTTTTTTTTTTCTCTCTCTATCTTTGTCTTTTCTTCTTTTAATTTTTAATTTTCACAATCCCGATCTTCTGCCAAGGAATTGTACCTTTGTGCAAAATTACATATCATTTTTCTTCGCTTAAACGAGTGCGATAGTATTGAGGGTGGATGTCTTGAATCCCTGTTGCACGATGCAGCAGTGAAGTCATGGTTAAAATTTGCACATAAATCTTCTTTTCTCATGAATATTTTCTATTTCTTTTGTAGGCCATTGGAAATACTCATGATAGTTGATAGCTGATGGAAAAACAGGATAGAATGTTCCCACGACTTTGATTTCTTCCCAGAGAGCTCATAAGTATGTGAACTATTTTTCGAGTTTTGAATACTCTAAATGAAGATAAAATCCGAATCAGTTCGCCAACAGCAATTTACATTTGTATATGGTCTTGCTTCAGCAAGTAAACGTTAGTTCAACGTTCCAAAAGATGTGAACTGTGATGAACTGCGCTGGTCTAACATCCACTAGGGTTAAATCTGTAAACCCGTCATTTATACAGATTCACGTTTGTTTGAAATTTAAAAACACATGAAGTTACTCAAATTGCGATGAACAACAGTGAAAAAGTTTCTTTTTACTCGCAGACTTGAAAATCAAAGTTTGAAAATTGAGTACAAATCAAGTTGGATCTCACACCAATCTCAACATTCCACTTGTTGACATTTCGACTAACGTGTTGAGAATTGAGACCTGCACAGATGAAAATTCTGGTCGTAAACACTTGTAAAACTCTGATGAATTAGCTTAAACAAGATGCATGTGACATGGAAGACTTTAGTTATAAGAAAAAATAAGTCTAACTTGTGCGGGAACCAGGCCCAACCACTTCTGCTCTGACTTGCACTTGCTGGAACAACACCATCCAACGGAGGAGATCCCTTAGCGAAGCTCCAACACCGAGCTAAACAAAAACAACAGCGATAAAAGATGAACGACGTGAAAAAACCCATAGAAGGAAGATTCGATATTAGAAGATTGAACACTGACTATTGTCAAAGAAAACGATAGTGTGACTCCGCTCTGTGTGTATGTGGCAGGAATGTGGTTCCTCGCTTAAAAGATCGAGCTTCGTTCGCCATGTGGAGTGGCGGCAGCTTAGTCGTGACCCAACGCAAGTAGCTTTGCAAATAGTTTTCCTACGAGCCCAGCCCACCCGCGCTGCTACTGCACAGTTGCCAGTGCCATGGGCAGTCGGAGTATAAATTTTGTACCGGCGCTAGAGTTGGGAAGTCAGAGAATGTAGTCGTGGCAGCGTGGTGAGCCGAGTGCGTGCCGTTTGGCAGTAAGCCGGGAAGGAAGCGTGACCCGCGGGTGCACCCGGAGTCATGCTGCAGCATGCGGCACATTGCAACATAGTAAATCTTCATGTACAAAAATACATAAGCACTATTTTATTATTGTTTTGCAATCAACGTGTGAAGGAATGGAGGAATTCCAGTGTGCGAAGCCCTGATATAGCTCCGAATCCTCGCACCTTGGGGGGGGATACGACAGAGGGAGAAAATCAGCTGGGCAAAGGCGGGGGAAGGGAGAGTGGCTGGCTGGGCCAGTGGGCATGGGAGCTGCTGCTCTGAAACTGCATTCCACATGGCAACACTCTGCAGGCAACAACGCTATCACGAGGCTGAGGTGCTGTTGAATGATGGCACAGTCCCCCTGGAATGAAAGACGACGCCCTTGGAACTTGCAGCGGAACACGGGGAACCTTGCAAAGCTACCAATCCAGGAGCAGTGCGTGGACAAGACTGGCGAGGAGGCAGAGAAGGGGAGAGAGAGAGAGCGAGAGAGCAAGACAAAGTTGGGCGATGAGGAATGGGTGCTTGGCTTTTCCTCCTATCCTTGCCTCCCATGCTTTGCCCGGGATTCCATACCGCCGCGTCCTTCGCCTCCGCCCCCCGTAATCTCGATCGCCGTGAAATAATCTTCCTTTGCACCGCGCCTCCCCATTCCATTCCACCAGCAACGCTTGCGAAGCTCTCCAAGACTCAAAGCAACACATCAGTCGGAACTACGAGAAGGCATTCTATAGAGAGAAAAAACAAAAACAAAACAGAAAAAGGACTCGCCGTTGACCGCAAGAAAGGGTTGAGATGTGGCTTGCGAGCAAGAAAGGGTTGAGATGATGCTTCAATAGCTTGAGATGTGCATCCACAACGGAAAACCTAATTTCGGATGTGGCTTCTTTGATTGCGTGTGTGTGTCTGTGTATGTGTTTTAGGCTTGTAGCTTCATGAATGTAAACTTGAGATTAGGGTTTTGTACTCTTCTGCCTACAAAGTGGCTTAGCTTCTTCTCGTTTAGCAGCAAATGTGTGTATGAATTTGCAATCTCTTCCACATTTGCTTATTGTTGTTTTAAACGCAAAGTTCCAAATCAGTGATTTGTTACGAGACTTGAGATTGTATGTCTTTTCTGTTTTTTCTTCATGTTGTGTTTAGTTGTCTATATCTTGTTTGTTCTTAAAAAAAATGGTGAACTTATTCTATGTATTAAAGATAATTGAAGACCTTTCTTGAACACATCCCATACAATTATGAGGAAAATGAACCATTCTTTTGTTGCACGCAGACTTCAAATACTAAAAGACAATGTTGAAAGACTGGTTTCTATATGTATTCATACACATGACGAATTGTAATTTTTCAACTACATATAAATTAGTTTTTCTTCGTTCTTGATTTATTGTTGTTGTTGTCACAGTTATTTCTCTTATCAAATTGTATGCATTGCATGGCATGGCATGGCATGATACCACCCAACTAATGGATAAATAGAGAAATCTGAAACTTAAACCATAAACTTAATGAGGAAATAGGGTTGATCCCCCCCCCCCACTTTACCCTCTATCATATTTGCCACAAAATGAATCTTTTTAGTGTGGTCACTCTGTATAGTGAAGTGACCCTACAAAGTGAGAATCAACTTAATTAATTCTTCCACTCTACTACTTAAAAGTTGGGGTAGCTTATTTAAGGGTGCCATGTGGGCTATGGTTGGATGTCATATGGACTAGAGTTCGATGCCCCCACCTTCACCAACATCTTTGTCTCTCAAAGTATATTCCGCCATGAAGTTGGAGCCTATACCTTGAGTAGCTTTTGGGTCACAACCACACATTACTTTCATTATTTTTATTGAAAAATTATTTGACAATACTTTTTTGAGTTATTCACTTCCACCACTCACTATCTTCTAATATTCATGTAAGTTTTCATCAAAAGATTTTGAATGACGTTTGTGTAGCAGTGATTATCTTTTAATAAAAATAAAAATGTTTTTGTTTTTGAGGATTTCCACATGATTGATAAGTTTTTAATTTGCTTTACAATTTATCCTTGATTCTATTAAATTCCATATTCCTGTATTATATGATAAATATTGCTGTTAAGAACCTCGAAATTAAGAGAATTTTGTAGAACTAAACATGACATAAAGGATTTAAACAAAGAAGCTGACTTTGACGAGCCATAGCCCTAAAGTTTTCAGAAGCATTTTTTCTTGGTTTGGAAATGATGCTTTGTAAAAGTCTTGGCATTTAAAGTTAGTGTAAAATAAATAATTAAATTAAATTTAAAAAAACATGAAATGGATCATGTTGTTTTTATTTTCAAATTAAATTGATTTATTTATTTTATTTTTGTAGTTCTAAACACACCAACTTTCAAAGGAAGGCTTGATGCAAATTCAAGGGGATGAAACTGTTCATGCTATATATGCGAAAAATGCATTCCACCTCATTTTTATTATCATTATTATTATTATTTTAAATATAAATCCAAGCAAGAGAAATGTCCTGATTTGAACCTTTTACAAACTTTAAAAGTTACAGCCTCTTATCTTCTCTTCTAAACACATAGAAACCTTCTAAATATGTAGGCAAAGATTCTTCAATGTTAATAAACATGTTTTTTATTTTTTGTTTTTTTTATCTTGTTGCAAATGATATAATTTTTTTTCTTTCAAAGTTTACATAATTGTGAGAATTTTATTCCTAAATCTTTATGTTTTTCTATTATCAAAACTATTATTTTCTCAAAATGTATGTGTGTAATCAATAATATCATGAAATATTTTCTGATTGAATTCATTTCAAATAATAATAAAAACCCCATTTTTGACACTACCATACTTTAATTGCATTATGAATACACTGTTGTAAACAAATAAAACAACTGTATTTGTTTACATGGTTTTTACACAGTTGCATTACTACATAAATCACGTACAAGAAATGAGCCATGCTCAACATCGACTAAAACTTATACCAGTTCACTAATTTGCATTCAACAAAATTAAATGGAAAAGGTTTAATGAGAAGACAGTCATTTCGATCAAAACTTTCAGCATGAGAATAGTTTAGAATGTAAAATTATCCAAAGGTCTAGAAACCACTATAGATCATTGAGGGGTTAGGTATATAAAACTTTGAAAATCATTCTTGTGACACATCTGTACACATCGAAGACCCTACCCAAATAATAAGTTTCACTAACTCATTTAAAAACCAACATTAATTGTTTCCCCCAAATACGAAAAATTAAGATATCGAACTAGAAGAAGAAAACAAACAAACCAAAAAGGAAAAGTAAAAAGTAAAGGCAAAAGGAAGAAAGTTGTAATACCTTTGATGACAGTCCAAACGTACTCATCCATGACGTCACCAACCCTTCCGCCAACATTAGTAATGCTAATTCCGCAAACGGATGAAATTAGTATTAATATCATCCATCAATAAGAGGATGAAAGGGTCGCGGCCGTTAGGTGGGAGGACTTGGCGCATGACAGCCGTGGACGGGTTCCAAGCCGAGCAGTCGCTAGGGTGGCCGGGCCCAGCCCGCGCGATTTATTCTCTCCCGTTTCAGTCCCTGCCGCCGGTTTCTCTATTGCCGGCAACGAGAATTAAAAACAAATTA